CTTCACTCTTGGCAGCAAGAAGATATGACAGGTATATCCCAGCTCAGGATTCTTTCAAGAAGGGACTCTACATGTTCGACATAGGTCAAAATGATCTAGCTGGCGCCTTTTATTCAAAGACGTTCGATCAAGTCCTTGCTTCAATCCCAACAATTCTAATAGAATTCGAAGGTGGTATTCAGGTAGTAAGCATTGAGATTAAGTCGAATGTAGATATCTAAAACTCATTCATGTCTTATAAATTACCTTCAATTTACAGAAATTATACGATCAAGGAGCGAGAAATTTCTGGATTCACAATACGGGCCCTTTAGGGTGCTTACCGCAAAACATTGCTAAATTCGGCAATGACCCATCGAAGCTAGACGAGCTCGGATGTGTTTTTAATCACAATCAAGCCGCGAGGCTTCTCAACCTGCAACTTCATGCCCTTACCAAGAAATTGCAAGGCCAGTATCAAGATGCAAATATCGTGCACGTTGATATATTCACAATCAAATCGAATCTCATAGCAAACTACTCTCGATATGGTCAGTATTACACCAAAGCAAATATCCTCTCGTCTATTTCCATAAACACAATTATAACTATGTATATACATAGGAAAAAATGCAATTTGTAGTCCTGTTGGTTTAATGTCATAACAGTTTCAGTCCCAACACTCCAATTTTTTTGTTTTTGGTCCTGTGATTAAATATTTTACTGCAATGTCAGTCAATCATTTATGAGGACTGAAATTGCACCGAAATTTTAAATTACAGGGCTGAAATCGCAACAAAATTTTAAATTACAGGACTAAAGTTGCTAATAAAACATCTGGGAATTTGGGAATTTGTTGCAATTTCAGTCATTTGCAGCAAAATATTAAATCACAGGACCAAAAGGCGAAATGTTGGAACCTTGAGACTAAAATTGCTATGGCGGTAAACCAGCTGGACTAAAAATGCATTTTTGTTTCATATATGCATATATATATGTATAACCCTTTTACTTACAGGATTTGAGCAACCATTGATGGCCTGCTGTGGATATGGGGGCCCACCGTTGAATTACGACAGTCGTGTCGCCTGTGGACTGACCAAAATCGTGAATGGAAGTTCGATCACAGCCAAAGCGTGTGATGACAGTACAGAGTACATTAATTGGGACGGGATTCATTACACGGAGGCCGCAAATCAGTATATTGCATCACAGATTCTGACGGGAAAATATTCGGACCCACCATTTGCGGATAAGATGCCTTTTCTTCTAAAACTAAAGTTCTAACGTTCACATTATCTTATTAGGGGGCTTCTTGTATTTGTTTGGACTTTGCAGATATCATATTCTTCAAATCGATTTTTAAATCGACTGGTTTTTGGCCTGGGGGATACTTAGACCACTCCAAGCAGAAGCCAATAAAAGTTGATACTCTTTTTCATCATATCGAAATCATAAGATAATTCAAACATGCTCAGAGGGCCTTTACTCAGCAGAAATGACCTGAGGAGAGCTAAAACTAGAGCTGTTTCTTGATATTTACTTTCTTTGTTTTTGTCAAATAATATTTTAATTTGACATTACGAGTATCTTATAAGCTCTACATACATCTAAAATGGGCCATTGTTACATTTCAAGCCGACCTTCACCACACAGCAATAGTAGCTACAAAAACCAAGGCAAAAATAAAAAGGATGCATAAAAAACACAACAACAAATGAGGCAACAGTCGATATCAAGAAATTTCGATTTGTTTCACTTGTATATGAATGAAACAAGCATTTTCTCATATGAACATTGGTTTAATAACATTTTATACATTCGATCAACTCCAACCATAAATAATGATTCCAGACTAGAAGAAGTAGAAGGAAAAAAAAGAAAAAATAAAGGAAGAAGAATATAAAAAATGACTTCATCATTTCTTGGAAACATAGGCATAGTACTGTGCCATAGGAACAACAAAAGCAATGACTAACAAACCTCCGACAACAAGAGTGAACTGACCCCGTTTTTCGTCCGTCTCCTCTCGAGTTTTGAAGTTAGATTCCCTCTTGTTGTCTTTAGCCTGCGGGCCCCCTGGATCAGGAAGCCCGTCTATGGCAGTTACTAGCCGTTTTGCAGCACTGTATATTGCTTCATTATACTTCTCATCTGTAGCTAAGACTGCAAAACATTTTGGCAAATGGCAAAGATTCTCAACACATTCGTTTTTTTTCTTTTTCACATATATATATATATATATATAATCAAGTCACCACCTTTCTTTATCAAAATTCTCATCAAGTATGAGTTCAACAAGAAAAGAAAGGAAAGGGAACAAAAATCACTCGAGACATCAAATTTATCAAGATTATCGAGATGAGAACTAGCCATGAAACGAATTAACATGACGAATACTTCAAAAAGCATGTAAATTGGATTGAAAAATGGCAGCAAGTAAGAGTTAACTTTATACCTGGAAGATTTTCAGAAACAGTGGCATCAAGAACAGAATCACCAACGGCTCGGATGAATTCAGGGCCACCTGTGACGGCACCTTCTTTTTGACTGGTGACGAGCACTATAATGCCTTTGTTATTGCCTTCTTCAACAGTTGGATACCAACGTTCGAGTACTTGGTCAGCATACTCAAATGCATCCGCTTTGCTCTTCAGATAAAAAAATAATGAGGACAAAAACTCAGAAAAAATTAATAGATAGGCATAAAACAGAGAAAGAATTCAACTTTTCACTAAAAATATATGATTTTAATGCTAACTTCTTCTACTTCCACATAGTTAAATCAAAATCAGAACACCAGGAAGGGATGAATACTTTCACAGCTCTAATAAGAAGAAAAGAAAAAACGAAACAAAACTTCCACAAATTCGCCAATGGAACTCTTACCTTCAATTTACAATTACAGCCAAACTTCTACTATCTCATTTATATTTGTTTCTTTTTTTTTTCTTTCTAAAATTTAATAGAAGACTATCTTCACAAACACTCTTCTTTTAAGCAGCAATACACGTCGATTTACATCAATTCCTGTCACTCGAACTTCACAAAAATTCCAATTACATAGCTCTTTTCACAACACACAGACACACACACACACAAACACACACAAGACACAGATATACATCAAAAGCACTTACAGTGAGCTTGCGAACAGTGACAACGTTAATGTGAAACCCTTTCCTGGACTCCAAATCCGAAAACAAACTCTTCAAGTCGGACCTCGTCACCCGGCTAAGCACGCCGGCATCATCAACAACGTACGACTCCGTAGGCGGGCCATCGTTCAGGACATCGAACTCAGACGCAAGTGCAGAGTCCGCCAAAATCGGCAACGAAAAATTGAGGGCCAACGAGATGGCGAGGGCGGCCAGCCCCTGGTGCACGTTAGCAACCCAGCCCGCGGGCTTGTGGGAGAATTGTTCAACCGACAGTGAAGGTTGCTTTTTGAGGTTGCAGCAAACGGGCTTGAGCCCGAAGCTTGATCTGGGCTGGATCGAGGAAAAAGGAGGAGTCTTGAGAAGTGGGGTGAGAGAGCGAGGTGAGAGAATGGTCTCCATTGAAGGAAAATGACCCAGCAGTTTCAGAAATTGGAAATAGAGAGATGTTTCATGGATATGTGTGAGAGTGTGTAAAGAATTTGGTGTTCAGTGAACTCTTGAGTTATGGTTATGGAGATTTTTTTTTCTGGTTCATATTTTTTGAGCGTTTTTGGGTGTTTCATTTTGGATGGCTGGCTGGATTTTGGTACTGTGGACATGGATAATGAGGTCTTTGAATGTGAGGGTCAAATTTGGTATTTAGAGTTTCAAGAGTTCAGTCTTCAACATCATAAACACAAGTATGCATGTGTTTTTCTAATAGAAATGGTACAGCAGGTACAATATTTACATAACACGGGACAACTAAAAATAAAAAATTAAATAGACCTCACTCCACGAGTGTTATGTACATTTATGTACATTTATTATTTATGATGTATTTGTAGTATTTTTATTTTTCTAATTAGCTGGTATTTTAAGCGTGTGTGTTCAGTTAATATTTTTTCAATTAAATAAATACTAATATGTTATAGTTTACTTTATGTACATTTATTATTTATAATGTACTTGTAGCATTTTTATTTTTTTAATTAGCTGGCGTGTGTGTTCAGTTAATATTTTTCAATTAAATAAATACTAATATGTTATAGTTCACTTGCTGTATATAAATGGTTGGCTCCACTGTGGAGTCAACTGCTGGCTTCATAACAAAATTGCATAAAATATAAGTAATTTTATTGAAAGTTATATTTTAAAATATAATATAAATAAAAGTATAGTATTTTATAATATAAATATATACTATAAAATATTAATAAAGTATGATTACTACAGTATGTTTTAACTGTTTTTAATAGATTAATTAATGATTAAAAAATTTAAAAGTAAATAAAGAACAAATTTATAAATTAATTTTCTTTAATTTAAAAATAATTTTACGATTAAAAAAAATAAGAGCATGTTTGTATACAAGAAATCTAAAACAAAATCAACATTTAATTCAACCATTTTTTTTAACTCAACCTCACTATCATCGATATTATCAATATAATTAAATAATATCAACCAATCATTCATACACACAACATCAACTTTAGTTCATTATTTATCCACTCACATTAATTTAATTAACCATCACTTCAAATCATTTTTCTCCTTCTTTTATATCAAATCAATTTTAGTTATTTTATTTTAAATATTATTTTAATACACCCACTACCAACTAACCAATGTTCAACTTTCAAAACGTCTTGAACCAATAAAATTATCTCACCCTCAAAAGTCCCCTCCAATTAACCAACCGCGCGTCGCAACGCGGCAAATTAAAATTTATATTTTTTTCTTGATTAACCTCTACTAACTAGTAGTAGTGGCGAACAAGGGTCTATCCCACGAGGAGTGTAAATCAAATTGTGAATTTTATCGTATTAATTGAAATTATAAAAGCGATAAAAGGGGGGATTAGATTTAATATGAAAACCGAAAAACGGAGGATTAGAGTTTATTTCCTCAACCTAGCCCTAATTTTCTCTCTTTTCAAAATCGTCGTCGCTAAGAGTCTCCTCCCTTAAATCGCCGACAGCCTCTTCCCAACGTGGAGTTCCGCTCGGCCTCGACAAGGTCGCCACAGGTCTGTGTTGGGTTCGCTAGTACCGTACGGGCTTTAAGCAGCGGAATTTAAAATTTTTCAAAGTAATTATTTATCGTATAAATACAACACCCGTACATACTAATTGCGAATTAACTGATCGTCATCTTTAAAACATGCATCACATACAAATTTTGATTTGTTATATAAAATAAATACAAATACAAAGTATTTACCGAATGTCTTGAACTCCTTCAACGACGATGTGGATTGTGGGAATCGGTTCCCGGTTTGATAACTTCAACGGATTGAGGTTACTCACTTTAGGAATCCAAGTATCTTCCCTCTAAACGTATCCACCCTATGAAACCCGGTTCCGACTACCTTCCTTCGCTAGTAGGAATGACTCGGTTTTCTTGTATAGGAATATGTATGAATTTTATTTGGGAATTTTCAAGAACTCTTTCTTGATGTTTATGAAGAACTCTTCTTCTTTCTAACACTTAGAAATTTTAGGAATGAATTCACCTTAAATGCAAAACCATTTTGCATCTATTTATACTAAACATTTTAGCATAAAATAATCAACATTTAGTAATATTTAAATAAAATCAGATTTTATTTAAATAATATTTACTAACTATTGACTTTGAATATAATAAATAATGTTAAGTAGTTCAAACCACCTTTAACCACCATTTTATTATAATCATATTTATTATTTTAATCCTTAAATCATATTTAAAGATAATAGAATAATAAATCTTGAGAATCTTTTCAAGACTTTATTATTATATTCATTTTCCCAATTTTCATCCATAATATAATAATCATATTATTATTATTTTGGTTTGGAAATTTAAAATCCAATTTTAAATTCCAACATATTAATTTAGTAATTACCTTAATTACTAAAGTAATATCCAAAATGTAATTAATCAATCTTATTGATTAATATATTCCTTTTAATTGACATCTAATCAAATTAGATTATGTCAATTAATTCTAACTCTTTAGAAATACAATTTTCACCTTTGTTCATAATAGGTGTGACCTTTTAGGTTCACCTTAATACTAGTAGTGGGTTTACAACTCTTTGTAATTTGAGTTAATCACATTAACTCTTATTCATGAATTAACCCTTTAATTCAAGAACCCACATATCATGGGAACACCTAGCAAGTAGCATGAATCTAGTATTAAGTGAATAGCGAGTAAACCTATTCCGATTACAACTCCATACATGTAAAATCCTTTCGACATCTAATTTCCCGATTAAGTCTTGGGTATGATTTTGTCGAAACCCAAATTGACTTAATAACTATGATTCTATTTCAAGTTTATTAACCCTGTTATGAATCACTATTCATCTCTGCCTTGGCCAAGGACTTTGGATTAATAACTATGAAACACATAGGAAATTCACTTATCTTCATAAGTGTCGAATCCTTTATTGGCCACTAACAAACTTCCATACATATTAACATAATACCCAACTTATCCCTTTAAACGATAGTGCTAGCTACCAAAAAGATAAATCAAAGTAGAATGTAATATGCACAAAGTTACCATTGTGCCTCAAGTCTTAGGATTAGTCATGTACTATTGTAACATGAAAATTCTTATTCGACTGAATAAATTCTTCATTAAGAATTTTCATACGGTCATGTTCAGTGAACTTGTTCTCTAACAAGCACCCACATAAATGTACTTACGTCTTACGCTAATGTTGATGGAATGCAACATTCTTGTCCAACAAGCATACAAACTATGTGCAAGTCTTTTATGGATTATTCGATATCCCATCTCGAAACATCCATCGACTTGGAACTGTATTTAAGATCACGGCTTTCAAGGTATGTTCCATGATCACCATCTCTATGCGCAACCATACCTTATAACCATAAGTGATCTAGGGATTTTATCTTAAGTGCAATTATAAGATAAATGCTTTCTCTTAAGATAAAGAAATGCCTTATTCATAATATAATTCCAATAGACTGTATTTACAAGTAGAATACGTCCAATTAGATTGGAACGCCGGGTACCCTACTCTAACAATCTCCCACTTGCCCTAGTTCCAATCACTCATGTATCTAAGACCCATCTTCTCAAGATGTCCTTCGAACACTTTCTGTGATAAGGGTTTAGTTAAGGGGTCTGCTATATTTTCTGCTGAGTCGACTCGCTCCATCACGACATCGCCTCTACCAATGATTTCTCTAATCAAATGGTATCGCCTCATAATGTGTTTGGATTTTTGATGAGATCTTGGCTCCTTTGCTTGCGCAATAGCCCCATTGTTATCACAATAAATCATTATTGGATCAACAACGGATGGTACTACACCCAACCCTTGGATAAAGTTCCTTATCCAAACAGCTTCTTTTGCAGCATCAGATGCAGCAATATATTCAGCCTCTGTCGTAGAGTCAGCAATTGTTTCTTGTTTGGAACTTTTCCAACTAACTGCTGCTCCATTCAGAGTAAATAAGTATCCAGACATGGATTTATAGTCGTCTTTATCGGACTGAAAACCAGAATCAGTAAAGCCTTCTAGTTTCAGTTCTCCATTGCCGTATACCATAAAGATATCCTTAGTCCTTCGTAAGTACTTAAGAATCATCTTAACGGCTTTCCAGTGTTCTTCACCTGGATTAGACTGATATCTGCTCGTTACACTAAGTGCATGAGCCACATCAGGTCTTGTACATAACATTGCATACATAATGCTACCAATAGCTGATGCATAAGGTATATGACTCATCCGTTCTCTTTCTTCAGGTGTCTTTGGAGACATCGTCTTAGAAAGAGAAATCCCATGACTCATTGGAATATATCCTCGTTTGGATTCTTCCATGCTAAACCGTTGTAGCACCTTATTTATGTACGTCGACTGGGATAGTCCGATCATCCGTTTAAATCTATCCCTATAGATTTTTATCCCTAGGATAAAGGATGCTTCTCCCAAGTCTTTCATGGAAAACTGTTTTGACAACCATGTCCTAGTTGACTGCAACATCCCTACATCATTCCCAATGAGTAGGATGTCATCAACATATAGAACAACAAATGTAACTGCACTCCCACTAACCTTCTTATAAACACATGGTTCATCCGGATTCTTATGAAAATCAAACGTTTTGATCGTTTCATCAAACCGAATATTCCAACTCCTCGAAGCTTGTTTAAGTCCATAAATAGACCTTTGAAGTTTACAAACCATTTGTTCACTCCCATTGGATATGAAACCTTGCGGTTGTTTCATATAAATGTCTTCCTTAATATTTCCATTAAGAAAAGCAGTTTTCACATCCATTTGCCATATCTCGTAGTCATAATACGCAGCTATGGCTAGCAATATCCGAATAGATTTAAGCATTGCTACTGGTGAAAAAGTTTCCTCATAATCAACACCTTGTTTTTGAGTATAACCTTTAGCAACCAGTCTTGCTTTAAAAGTATTTACTTCTCCATCTACACCACGTTTTCGCTTGTAAACCCATTTACAACCTATGGGTACAATACCCTGTGGTGGATCAACCAAAGTCCATACTTTGTTTGAATACATGGAATCTATTTCGGATTGCATAGCTTCTTGCCATT